GACGACAAGATGGCGGCTTCCCGCCGTTCCTCCCCGACCACACCCAAGATGGCGGCGCCCTGCCGCGTGTTGGAGAGGGCGGGAAGCGTGGGCCAGGCCCCAATGGCGGACGGCTCAGCCCCAATCGAAGGCTCATCGCTTTCAGGCCCGCAGCGTGGCCGATCCGGCCTCGTCACCGGCGCCACCAGGGTGACAAAATCCAGCAGAACGGCCCGCAGCGATTCAAGTTGGACCGCCACGTGGCCGCTGGAGGACGTGCGCCGGCGGCCGTTTATTCGTCGTCGGAAGACGTAACAAGTGGGTTACGCTTTTTCAAGTTCTCGGCCCTCTTCCTCGATGTTATTTAGCCTTGAAAAAGTCCACTTCTGACTCCAATGTAATAAAGGACTCCTTCACACGATGTTGGTCTCCGTCTGTCCTTAATTGATGTTCTTCTCCTCCGCACCCTGCTGGCCTCCTCCTCGGCCCAGCGTCGTCTCTCCTCGCGCCCCGCGCACTCTGCAGCCACCCCGCTGCTCCGTGTGCTCCCGCACACTCTGCAGCCACTCTGCTGCCCGTGCAACCTCGCACGCTCCGCTAGCCCTCCGCTAGCCCCGTGCAACCCGCACAGTCCCGCTAGCCACTCTGCTAGCCCCGTGCAACCTCGCACGCCCTGTGCGCCCCGCACACTCCGCTCTCTCTCCGCACACCGCTAGCTGGCGGTGTGCCAAGCCCTATCAGCCTCGCGGCTGATGGCACGGCGGCCACCCAACGTGGTCTCGCCTCTTCACTCCCTCAAATCCCCAGATCTCTTCCGGGCTCCCTCCTATAACCTCTCCCCCACGTGACCCTGGCTCCTCCCTCTCGGATCGTCACATCCGGCCTTCCCATTTACGCTCGCATTACATCTGCAGTGCGCTACTCCCCCCTCCCAGGCCCGCTCATTGCCCAGCTCAGGTACTGGGTCGTACCAGCGTGTTAGTCTCACAGTCCACTCATTGGAAATGTTGTACCTTCACTCCTCCCACCATCACCCTCACCCCTCGCCCATCCCTTGTTTCTCCTCCCTGGCTCCTCCCCCCCCCCCCCTCTTGCCGTATATAATATCTTGTTACAAACGGCTCTTGTCCACTACAGTAATTTTATTTCTTGCTGTGGTTTTCCCACCTGATGACGAAGCTTGGTGTTGCTTCCAAAACGTCGTGATTTAATTTATTTTTGATTATTAAAAACAAAAATTGTATAAAACGTTTACTTTACTTTTATCGGATTTTATACCTACGCGACTTTACCGAAAGAACCAAAGAGTATGTGTGCTGGAGTCATGGTCCAAATTTGCCAACTTTGAAAATTCCCAACAAATTACTCAATTGAGAAATATGCTGCAACACCACCCCCTTATAACACACTCATGTCTGATCATGGGCAAATAGATATTTGTCGTTAGGAGTGCCCTTTAAATGTTTGACATGATACATGATGTAAATCATCTTCACATGTGTAGTGAGTCACTTCAGAGACACTAATAGTAGGAGGCATACACGTATATTCTACACTTTCCACAGTATAGGGGATAAGTATTTACGGGTCAGGACAACTGGCACACTGCTTGAACCAACACCGACGAGGAGGTGAAGACGGGGACAAAGACTTGTGAAGACGACGAGTTCCATTCCTAAACCACAGCAGCCTCGATCCAGCGTCGTGGCCTCCCTCCCCAGCGGGGCCGAGCACCGCCCTCGGCCACGTCCCCTTCTGGAACCTACCAGAAGGTTCTGGTTTCTGCCCCACGTGTCCCCTCTGTCACCTTTACCCTACATCCGTGCCTATCACGTGCCCTACTGGCAAACCGGCCGCTGTATCCTCAAATGCCCTTCACTGCCAGCAACCGGCGCTACTCGCTCCAGTGCACACTTCACCTGCCCTGCTGGTAGACTAGGCTATTACACATACGATCCTGCTCTCTACCAGTAACCAGCGCTATACACCGTAGTGACCCATTCTATGTCACTACACATGTAAAGTGTTCTGAGACTTCTCTGGAATGAAGGGTGCTCTATGAAAAAGCAGCATTATTATTGTTATTATTATTATTAAATACTAATTGCAGAGTATCATGTGCCAACCTGGTGCAGGAGCGCATACACAAAACTGCTAGATACAATTCGTATTATAACACTCAAACTAACAGAGACATGAAAACTGCAAGGGACGTTACAAATTTTATTGCCATCAACCAAGACCTCAAAAATCTTCTTTACTGCCGACTCAAGTCCGGATCCCCCTTTTGGTTTTCACGCTATCACCATTCTAGAATCTTAGTTAGATCACGAATGAACGCTGGTGAAGAGTGGAACAATGTGGATGTTCAGTATAAACACCTGATTTAAAGCTTTCGTGACTGCAGGGATTCATCTTCTTGGTTCTTTCGGTAAAGTCACGTAGAAGGGAAGTAATAAAATAATAAAAATAAAACATAATAAAACAATTCTCACGACGTTTCGGCCACAACGCAAGCAGCCGTCCTCAGGTGAAAACCAGGTCCGTCGAGGCGACAGAGTCTGAATGAAACAGCACACGAGCTTGGAGCATATATATAAGCTGAGCGCATTGACAAATGAATTTGCATATTAAAAGGAATTTAGCATATTTATGGGAAATGCAGGAATGTGATTAGTACTGCATATGCATGTGCATTATGCAGGATTAACAGCATCAAAGGGAGCTGCAGTTACTGCTGCTGCTGCAATTGCTGCTGCCGCAGCCACCGCTGCTGCAGCAGTTGCTGCTGCTGCAGTTTCTGCTGCTGCTGCAGTTGCTGCTGCTGCAGTTGCTGCTGCTGCTGCACTTGCTGCTGCTGCTGCACTTGCTGCTGCTGCTGCTGCAGTTGCTGCCTTATCCATTTTAATATAACATATAACACTATGTATTATTCTACCCACCCTAATGTGTATCATACTGCTATATGTTTACTGTACAATTACGACACCATACATTACTAATGTATGGTGTCGTAAATAATACATAGTGTTATATTAAAATGGATAAGGCAGCAACTGCAACTGCAGCAGCAGCAGCAAGTGCAGCAGCAGCAGCAAGTGCAGCAGCAGCAGCAACTGCAGCAGCAGCAGCAACTGCAGCAGCAGCAGAAACTGCAGCAGCAGCAACTGCTGCAGCAGCGGTGGCTGCGGCAGCAGCAATTGCAGCAGCAGCAGTAACTGCAGCTCCCTTTGATGCTGTTAATCCTGCATAATGCACATGCATATGCAGTACTAATCACATTCCTGCATTTCCCATAAATATGCTAAATTCCTTTTAATATGCAAATTCCTTTGTCAATGCGCCCAGCTTATATATATGCTCCAAGCTCGTGTGCTGTTTCATTCAGACTCTGTCGCCTCGACGGACCTGGTTTTCACCTGAGGACGGCTGCTTGCGTTGTGGCCGAAACGTCGTGAGAATTGTTTTATTATGTTTTATTTTTATTATTTTATTACTTCCCTTCTACGTGACTTTACCGAAAGAACCAAGAAGATATAAACACCTGGTTTTGGCATTCCTCGAAGTTACCGGTGTAACCATCAACAGGCCGATGCACACATCTCAATTGATTAATTTAAAATTAAAGACACAAGTCACAATGTTGCGACTGTGGCCATGCAATCCAAACTACGGACCATGTAGTAAACCACTGTCATCTGTGCTCCTTCAAAGAAGGAATAGCTAAACTACGCAAACTCTCTCCTGAAGCCCTCTCGTGGCTTTCAGACCTCAAAAATTATCATTCAGCTCCTTAACATATGAACCTTATGGCGAGACCTCGGGGGTCCGAATAAACGCAAGTAAAAATCGTAAATAATGTAGATATTTTAGCGACTTCATCCCACCACGCACATAATCGCCGCGACCCACCTGGTGTGGATCATTCTGTTGTCATGTCGTCCAAGGGGAGTGAGAACGAATGCGCAGAAGAGCTGAACAAGCAAATGCACCCCATGCTCGACTTAAGTCCTTTATTTGTCATAACGGTATGCATATTACAGTGGAACTGCTCTCTTACCTTCATTATTATTTGTGACCTACAATGTCTGTAGCCAGGATCAATCGATGACAATCCTATTACCTGCAGATATTTAATAGATGAGATGCGTTGCACCGTTAATTCCTCATGTTTGATAATACTTCTCTTGTTCGTATGCATCTGTGCAGATAGGTTTTTTTTCGGTTAAGCCATAGTCCCCATATCAATGCGGATAAGAGGAGCGGCGACCGACTACTCTGTCGAGTAACATTGGTATAAATACTTGTTACAATATGAACAGCGCATTGAAAACGCGTACTATTTTATGTACTGTTTACAAAGTGCGGTCACAAATCCACACTGAGAAACACGATTAGTGATAGAGTGTATTTAAATAGAGGTACTGCAGGAAAGTAGTTTTCAGTTTAAAAGGCATAGTTTAACAAGACAACACTTTCCACCATCCTTCAAAACCATTGGTGAAAAAGAGCAAAGTTTTTGTTTACATACTCTTTGGTTCTTTCTGTAAAGTAACGTAGGTAGAAATAAAATAAAATAAAACAAATCACGACGTTTCGATCGCAACACAAGCGATCTTCATCAGGTGGGACAATCACGGCAAGAAAATGCTGAAGTCGGCGTGAGAGCTGCCTTGACAAGAGTTTATTTAGGTAAGAGAGGGGGGAGTAGGCAAGGGGGGAGAGAGAGAGGGGGGTAGGGTAGGGGGAGGGGCCGCGTGAGCGCTCGGGGAAGAGGACGTGAGGCTGGGGGGGGGGGGCTAGAAGTGGGAAGGTGGTGTAAGAACAGATAGAGGACGTGAGGCGGGGGGGGGGTATCGAAAAACCCAAAGAGTATGGATTTTTGTTTACATTATAATAGAATGTGTATGCGAGAGCCGTGGGCTTATGGGGTCCCGCCATACGGTTCATATTTCCATGTGCAAGAATATAGTATAATGATTAAATACTAATCAGCTCTAATGTGTGGTTCTTGTCCTCAGCTTGTTGCAGGAGAGGGACTTAGCATTCTGAAAAAGGAGAAACTTCTTAAGTTGTTCCCAAATGCGAAGGATCTCTTGGCTTTCAGCCTCACAATAAAAACAACTGTACTATCATCTCAAGGTGCGTACAATACTGTTGTTATTGTCATCATTGTAAAAATAATATTTGATTGAGTAGCAGTAGTTTGAGTGCATGGGCTGCCATCAGAAGTGTGTAAATACAAATTCTAGTCATGGCTCAAGACAGTCCTTTTATCTTCCAAGGTTGGTAAAATTTGTAGAAATTTGTGGTAAATCGTCAGTGGTTTTCTTACGAGTTAACTTTCATTTGTAACAATTGTGTTATATTACTGCTATGAATTGTCACCAACTTGAAATCCCTCATTGGGTGGGAGGGTGGTGCATTGGTCACTCTTGCCTCACAACAAGAAGGTCTCGGGTTCAGGTTCTATTCCTGACGCCACCCTTGTGTAGGCATTCTATATTCTACCCCTGTTATGAATACGTTTCCTCCAGGTTCCCCGTGATCCTCTTCCATAGCTAAAAAAACACACTGTTCAAATGCTGAAAGGTACTTTCAAATCACTCAATTGGGATTACACGTAATAGCAACGACCCTGACTGAAAAGACTTGGCAGGACCCTCCTGAAAATGAGTTGAGATGCATTGAAATGTTCTTGGGTAAACATGCATAATAATGAAAAAAAAATGTGCCCAAATAACACCACTTTGTGTTGACATGTATATGTGCATTTAATGTATTGCATATTATATATCATTAACCTAGTGGCCAATAGTCCTTCTAGACTTGTTTATTCAAAAGCATGTGTTCAAGTAAGCAAACTCTGAACCAGTATCAACCGATTTGATTCCACAAGTCTAGTTTATTTGACAGAGCTTCTACATTTATTGTGACACAATTATCAGGGTTAACATTTAGGGGCAATTTCCATGTTCTCGATTTCTCTTGTTATTGTATTGGGATCCAGATCCGTATAGATACTTGCTTGGATCTGGTTGACCAAGTCAGTCACCAATGCCATTTACTTGTTTGTGGTAGAGCACCCTTTACCCTGGGCTATCTCAGGGTGCTCTACGTGCAATAAGCAACTTACATCACATCTAGCCTCAAATATTTGTAAGAGCAGTTGTCCCTGTGCGCACACGGTGACTGTACCTGCAAGCAGGCATTAGTCTGGCAGTAGGGAGAGATGATTGCCTAATGTCATCCCAATTCAGGAATTTGTGAGTAATTTTTTTAATTTGGACAATGATATTAGCACACAATGGCCAACTCATTTTAAATGAAGTCAGGGGATCTTTCACATTCACTGTGAAACATAGTATTTTTTTTATAGTTCATGCATACTGAAGTAATAACCAGGGAGGCCTGCCGGATTGGACCGCAGCCTTTTCAAAAAGCGGCGAACGTGTTAGCTCTGGGCCATGTCACCATGTTTTGAGTTTATCTGTCCATTCCATAGTTAATCTGAATGCAGAAGCAGTAATTACATATGTCTTCAACTTTAGCTGCAGAGACCGAAGAAGCCGAACTTGTTGGAATCAAAATTGTGGAATCTCGCTATCAGATCACCGCAACGAAGACATCACGATATTTCAAGCCCGAATTGCCGTACTTCATACAGGTACGATGTAGCACACACACAGGCTGTAGCAAGAGCGATATAATGAGTGTAGTACATATGGGGTTTCTCTACTGACACATGTAACCAGGGGCACTGTTTCACTTCCTGGCCGTGATCTCACTGAAACAATAGGTTTGGTGAAAGAACTCAGAACCTTGAAATGATGGTACTTAGCGTTGTGTTCTTCTCCATTCGTCACTGCATCTTGCAAAGAGAGATATGTGAGCTAGCGATGTGACTCTGGTGGTACTTTTGTTTGTATGCACAACAGAGATCAGGGTTCCACGCGATACCCATGGACACAACCGCTACAGTGGAGCCACTAGCAACGTCCCAGATTATAAGTGCCTGCGAATTTATTGATCAGAAAGAGCCTTGTGCTCTCTCTCATCTCCTTACAATAACTGATATTTTTTAGCAAACCATATCTCCCATATGCATTGCAAAATCAATATCCATTATCACAATCAACTCACCGATCAATTATACATCAACCAAATTACCCATGAATTTCCAATTATGCATTGCAAATGAAGCAATAATTATGAATTACCAATTAGTTATTGATTTTGAATTACCAATGTATTATTCATTATGAGGTAGCGGGTAGTTTGTGATAAACTACCTCAGGGCGTGACGACCCTGCCTTACGTGAGTCCCAGGCACAGCTGGCCCGGCTGTCAGTACCTGGCAAGGGCCCCTCCCAGGGTTACACAGTTTTCTCACTGCCTTGTGAGTGTCTCGGGAGAGTCAATGGATAAGGGAGTAAACCCCGACAGAAAATCAGGAGTGGGGCCCTTCAGGCAGTTTTGTGACACCCTGCGGCACATTCCCGGCAGCCCCTGTAGCCAAAGTGGTACCAAACGTCATGCTACGCACTCCTTTGGACATCACCAGCAAGGCCGAGGTGGGGATCCTGATGCATGGGCAACCCAGGATTTCCAGAATAACCTGCCCGGGCTTTGCGCCAACAAGAGGTGCAAAAATGGGGATAGGACACTCCTCAGCCACCTAATCTTGGCCAAGAAACACGGATGGCAGCAGTCACGGGTTATAAGCTCATTTCAAATTTGTGTAAAACATGGTTTGAGGAACAAATGGCTATATTGGAACCCATCCTCCAAGCTAAGCGCATGGCGCTCCTGAAGTACAAGCAAGTCCCAAGTACAGGATCATTAAGGACTTTGAAAGCTGCCCACAGTGCAGCTTAAACGACCGCCAGACGCTGTGCCAACTACTACTGGGTAAAACTCAGCAGTAGGATCCAATTCGCCTCTGACACTGGCAATATCCGTGCCATGTATGAAGGCATCAAGACAGCCTTTGATCAAAACATCAGAAGACTGTCCCCCTTAAATCCAGCACAGGGGCCATCATCACTGATAAACAAGAACAAATGGCCAGGTGGGTAGAACACTACTCAGAGCTCTACTCACGAGACAACGGTGTGTCAGAAGCTGCCCTTGCTGCTGTAAAGCGCTTATCAATCATACACGAACTGGACAATGTTCCAACCTTGAAGGAACTGGACAACGCCATCAACTCACTAGCCAGTGGCAAGTCCCCGGGACAGGACGGCATCACACCTGAGGTACTGAAATGTGTGAAACCTGCCGTCCTCACAAAACTCCATTAACGTATCTGCCAGTGCTGGGAAGAAGGAGCAATTTCTCAAGACATGAGAGACTCCAACATGATCACCCTATATAAAAAACAAGGGTGACTGTGGGGACTGCAATAACTACTGTGGCATCTCCCTGCTGAGCATCATGGGGAAAACCTTTGCCCGTGTGGTCCTCAGCAGGTTACAGATACTAGCTGAGAGGACGTATCCTGAGGCTCAGTGTGGCTTCAGAGCAGGAAGGTCCACAATTAACATGCTCTTCTCCGTATGTCAGCTACAGGAGAAATGTCGAGAACAGAGAATGCCCCTGTACTTGGCATTCATTGATCTTACAAAAGCCTTTGACCTCATCAGTAGGGGAGGCCTCTTCAAACTCCTCAAAGTGATCATCTGCCCACCGAAGCTGCTGGCAGTCATCTCCTCTTTCCATGACAAATAAAAGGAACAATACAGCAGAGCGGCACCACCTCAGAGGAATTTCCCATACTCAGCGGTGTAAAGCAGGGGTGCATGCTTGCCCCAACACTGTTTGAAATCTTTTTCTCACTTATGCTCACACATGCCTTTGGGACAGCAGAAGAGGGAGTTTTTCTCCATACAAGATCTGATGGCAAAATCTTCAATCTTGGCCGTCTCAGATCCAAAACCAAAGTCCGCAAAGTCATCATCAGAGAACTTCTATTTGCTGATTATGCCGCGCTGACAGCTCACACAGAACAAGGTCTGCAGACACTCATCGGCCACCTTGACAATGCATGCAACATCTTTGGCCTGACAATCAGTCTGAAAAAGACCAATGTCATGGGCCAGGATGTCAGAGACACCCCTTCCATGAACATTTGCAGCTACACCCTGGAATTCGTTCAGGACTTCACCTACTTGGGTTCCACCATCACCTGCAATTTGTCCCTTGTCACAGAGATTGACAAGCGCATTGGGAAGGCGTCCACAGCTATGTTCAGGTTGACCAAAAGAGTGTGGGAGAACAAATCTCTTACACTCAACACCAAAGTACAGGTGTATCGGGCCTGCATCCTTAGCACCCTCCTCTATAGGTCTGAGTCCTGGACAACATACGCCCATCAAGAACATCGACTAAACACATTCCACCTCTGATGTCTCAGGCGCATCCTCGGTATCAGATGGCAAGATCGCATTCCCAACACCTCAGTCCTCAACTTGGCCAACATTCCCAGCATGTACTTTCTACTCAGTCATAGGCGCCTGAAATGGCTTGGTCACATGCGCCGCATGCAGGGTAGCAAAATACCCAAAGATGTCTTGTACGGCGAGCTGGCATCAGGCACACAGGTCACTGGTCGCCCAGTCCTGTGCTTCAAAGATGTCTGTTAACGGGACATCAAGAGCTGCGACATCAACCCAAATGACTGGGAGAAAACTGCCAGCGACCGACTCAGCTGGCAGCAGGCTGTGAAAACAGGCCTCAGGAGAGGCGAGGAGAAAAGACAGTGCTTCGCAGACCAAGAGGGAGTGACGTACAGAAAAAGCAACAAACACCTCTGGAGCTGCCACCGCATTCACTTGCAATTACTGTGGCAAGGATTGCCACTCAAGGATTGGCCTACTAAGTCATTCTAGGCGCTGCAAAACCTACAACTGACCTCGTAAGGTGCAAAATAATTGTCTCTCAAGACACACAGTCCTATGGATTTATTATGAATTACCACCACGTTACTAACAATACTTTACAATGAATTATAATAAATGATCCCTGAATTACAAATACTTAATTGTACACTAACTATTATTAAATTTTATTATTAATGATTTATAAATTAACAATGAATAATTAAGTATCAATACATTCATACTCTTAGTTCTTTCGGTAAAGTCACGTAGGTGAAAAATGAAATAAAAACTAATAAAAATAAAACAATAAAATCACGACGTTTCGGAGGCAACACAAATCTCCGTCATCAGGTGGGACCGTCACAGCCAGATTTGCTGCATCATCTTGATGCAGCAAATCTGGCTGCGATGGTCACCCATTACCAATTTGACGGAGACTTGTGTTGCCTCAGAAACGTCGTGATTTTATTGTTTTATTTTTATTAATTTTATTTTCATTTTTTACCTACGTGACTTTACCGAAAGAACTAAGAGTATGAATCCTTGCAGTCACGAAAGCTTCAAATCTAGTATCAATACATTATCAAATTCGTACCATTAAAATAGCTAACTACTTTTATTAAATGATTTCTAACACATAGGATTAAGAGTGGATTCCTCTCACATGTAAGCACGCATGCAGTGGCTGATAACGCCTTGATTTACAGAGCAAGCACTGCTCTGCTGTGTAAATCAAACTTGCTCGATCTTCATGGCACAACGAACCAACGTATCACTCTGGGCCCGGTTGGGTGAGAATGTAGTGCAGCTGAGAGATGATTGACAATCCCGTACTCATCATTATCTTGTTAAGAACAAATAAATCAAGTGGCACTGCCCAAAACGTAACAAGAATGTGGCCAAATGCATGCGTGTATTTTGTCTGTCTCCGTGTCCGTGTGAGTGCCTCTGTCTCTTTGTGTGTCTCCGTATTGCTTTGTCTGCGTGTGTCTCCGTGTCTCTGTGTGTATCTCCGTTTCTAAGTGTGTGTCGCTGTTTCTGTATGTCTATATACCCAACTTGCGCATGTGTGGCTGAGGGATGGTGGCTGATGGTTGTCGTCAGGGGTACCTTTACCGCCTTCGGCTTTGTCTAACCAAAGACTGACTCCAAGGTGGGGTGGGGACGGGGGGGGGGGTGGAGCTCGTTTCCCTGAGTACAGGACCCATGGACAAGTTGCTACCAGCTTGGGTCAGCTGGACCAAGAGCTAGTCAGAGATCACGCCTTTTCAGTTGACAGCCCAATTCAGGAAGTCACCCATCACCAATTTGACAATACCACAATAAAGTTGATGCCCCGTGGGTGGTGGTGCCCCATTATTCAGAAAGTTAAGATTACCACACTTCCAGCACATATTTGCACATGCCAGAAGCAGATAATATTAATTCCCACGGGAACAAATATTAATACAAAATATTAATTCCCCCTATTGTTGAATGTGTGCACCCTCTTTTTGGCAACAAAGGCATATTTATATACATATGTAGGACTCGTACTGACGCGACAGCTTCTTTGTCTTTCTTGGTTCTTTATTAACTCATATAGTTCCACATCTCCATCGACATCACTCAATGTCCCTCCGTACACTTCAACTCACAACTCCCCATCAACATCACTCTATGTCCCTCCGTTCGCTCGCTCCGCTGGCTTCGCTCGCTCTCCTTCTGCTCCTCCAGCGATCCTCCTCTCTGCTCTCTCTACCAAGGTCCGTTACTTTGCTGCTATCCTACGCTGTACTCGCTCCAT